GAATGACAGAGTGCACCTGTTCTGTGACTAGTTTCCCACCAGATGAGGAAGATGATGGGCGCTCAATTGGTTGGCTGAATCCTAACTGTGCAGCAAAGATTGTCCCTATTGACGAGGATATACCAAAGTCCACTTCCTCGGGGCAGGAAGCTGGGGAGTTATGGGTGTCAGGGCCTAACATCATGAAGGGATATTGGAACAAGCCTGAGGCGACCGCAGAAACGATTGTGTATGAGGACGGCCACCGCTGGTTGAGGACAGGTGATATCGGATACTATGATGATCAAGGGAAGTTCTACATCGTTGATCGGCTGAAGGTAAGTATTTAACCTGGTAAATCGGGAAGTCGGGTATATCGGTCCTCTGACTTATGGACTCATCAGGAACTTATCAAGATAAAAGGTCTTCAAGTTTCGCCCACCGAGCTGGAGTTGACACTTCTCAACCATCCAGAAGTGACAGACGCCGCCGTTGTGGGTGCCATGATGTAGGTTGTCACAGTATTCTCGGCTTCTGTTTGAAGATGGGCTAACTGATACGGTGAAAGAAACGGGGAGGAATATGTCAGGGCGTTTGTTGTCCGAAAGAATGATTCACTTACAGAGAAAGAAATCTTCGAGATTGTCCGGAAGAATTTTGCTCCTCACAAATGGCTTACTGGAGGAATTTACTTTGTTGATGAGATTCCAAGAACAGGAAGCGGGAAGATTATGAGACGAAAGCTGCCTCAAGTGTTGTCGCCTCGGCCTTGGAAACTGTGACTGGGTCAAGAGTCCCGAAGGGGCTCATGTGAATCATCTTTGACGACCACATGCTCGTGCTCACGAGTGAAGATGACACTGACAGGCGGTAGCAGGCGGCTTTTGTCCTTTTCAGACCCACATTGTGATGAAAGCACACATGTTAGAAGACGGGGTAAATAGACAAATGGAGAACTGTGCAGTATTTATGTAGGTTGCACTCACTGTCATGACTTGGTAGATGTGATAATATGTCATTTGTGGCCCACCGTAGATGTGCTCTCAAGGCTGCTCTACAATCCTGTACTCCGCCGTTGTGAACAAATCTGCCAAGCCCACGCCAACCAGATTTGGACACGGCGCAGGGTCCAGATGCAGACTTGTTCAGGCTTGAAGGCGCAGTTTCGTTTCCGGCAATCGTTACCATCTCATCTCTCTGCAACAGACGCTTCGCAATCTCGAGTCCGACATGTTTCCTTCATAGTGACTCGGATCGCACACAGTCCTTGAGATCTCTTCTGTGCGCAGAGCAATAGCATTCTTCCATTGTGTTGCTTGTGACAATTAAGAGTGTGATTCCTCACCAATTTTTCCACAGGCAACGACTCAACTTCCGAGTTGATCCCTTCTTTTCTCTTGAATTTTCCTGCAGTGTTGTCAAGTCACGATGGGTGTCCCGGCTCTCTTTCGATGGCTTACCAAAAAGTATCCCAAGATTATCTCTCCCGTAATCGAGGAACAACCTTATGAGATTGATGGCGTGCAATACCCCGTGGACACCACCAAGCCCAACCCGAATGGAGAAGAAATGCACAACCTCTATCTTGATTTCAACGGCATCGTCCACCCCTGTTCGCACCCTGAGAACAAACCTCCCCCAGCAAATGAGAGCGAGATGATGCTGGAAATCTTCAAGTACACAGATCGTGTCGTGAATATGGTGCGACCGCGGAGACTGTTGATGATCGCAATTGGTAAGCTTCTCCTTCCGTTGATGTGCCTCCCAGCCCCTGTGGTCATGATACAGTGTGAATCTGACGTAGAACAGATGGGGTTGCTCCTCGAGCCAAGATGAACCAGCAACGAGCTCGTCGTTTCCGGTCGGCAAGAGATGCGAAAGAGGCGGACGAAAAGAAGGCAGAGTTTCAAACCCTCCTACGCCAACAGCAGCGTGATGGAGATGATGACGAAGACGAAGAAACAGTGGACGACGTAATCAAGAAAACATGGGATAGTAATGTCATCACACCTGGCACGCCTTTCATGTTCATTCTTGCTCAATCTATTCGATATTGGGTCCAGTGGAAACTGAACACGGATCCTGCCTGGGCTCAACTGAAGGTCATTATCTCAGACGCCAGTGTGCCCGGAGAAGGTGAGCACAAGATTATGCAGTTCATTCGTTCCCAACGCTCGGATCCTGCCTATGACCCAAACACAAGACACGTCATGTATGGACTTGACGCAGACTTGATCATGCTTGGAATCGCCACCCATGAGCCTCACTTTCGCGTCCTTCGAGAAGACGTTGAACTCAGAGATGCCAAAGCCAAGACCTGCAGGATCTGCGGTCAACAAGGTCATTATGCCGAGAACTGCAGAGGCGAAGCCAAGATAAAATCAGGCCAGTTCGATGAAAAGGGCACTACAGAAGAGCTGAAGCCATTTGTCTGGCTAAATGTGCCCATCCTACGTGAGTATCTCGGTGCAGAGATGTTTGTTCCTGGCCAGACGTTCCGTTTCGATCTTGAGCGTGCCCTTGACGATTGGGTGTTTATGTGTTTCTTCGTCGGCAATGACTTCTTGCCTCATCTTCCTAGTCTTGAAATCAGAGAAGACGGCATCGACAAGCTTATTGCCATCTGGAGAGACAATATTCCCCTTATGGGTGGTTACTTGACTTGCGATGGACGAGTCGATCTTGCACGAGCCCAAATTATTCTACAGGGTTTGGCGAAGCAAGAGGACGCTATCTTCAAACGCAGGAAAGAAGTGGAAGACAGGCGAGCTCGAAATGAACAGCGCCGCAACCAAGCCAATGAAGCTCGAGAGGCTCGCGCTGCAAAGAGACGACGTAGCTCCCCTGATTACAGCAAAGGTGGCAGGGCAGATGCTCGGGTACCGACTGGACCTGTTGAGACGTTCGAGGCTTCTAACTTTCCGGTTCTGGACTACAATTCTATTGTGAACAGAGCTGCTGTCGACAAAAGTCTGGCGTCAAACAAAAGCGCAGCAGCGGTGCTGAAAGAGCAGATGCTCGCACGAAAGGCGGCTGAGACACCTACTAAGAATGGTGCTAACGGCATCAATGGCACCCCCAATTCCTCGGCCGGAAGTCCTTCGTCAATCCTGGGCAAACGAAAGGCCGGAGCATTGGAAGAAGACGTGGAAAATGAAGGGACCCCTGCATCCGCAGTAGACAAGCTGAAAGCGGCCACGATGGATGAAGAGTCAGATAGTGCTGGAACTCCCGGAAGAAATACGCCTGTCGAGAAAAAGACTTTCAACAACGGAGATCCCAACAACCCTCCACCAGATACAGTCCGCTTGTGGGAGGAGGGATATGCCGACCGCTACTATGAGCAGAAGTTCCATGTGGATCCCAAGGACATCAGCTTCCGCCACAAGGTAGCTGAAGCCTACGTCGAAGGGCTATGTTGGGTGCTTCTCTATTATTTCCAAGGATGCCCGTCTTGGACGTGGTACTATCCCTATCACTACGCTCCGTTCGCTGCAGACTTTGTCGATATTGATAAAAAGACAGTCAAGTTCGATAAAGGAACGCCGTTCAGACCATATGAGCAGTTGATGGGTGTGCTACCAGCATCTTCCAATCATGCCATTCCGACTGCTTTCCATCCGCTCATGACCGATCCCGAATCCGACATTGTCGATTTTTACCCAGAGGAGTTCGACCTCGATCTCAATGGTGCGAAGCAATCCTGGAAAGCCGTTGTGTTGCTACCGTTCATTGACGAGAAACGACTCCTTTCGGCCATGGCCACAAAGTACCACTTGTTGACGGATGACGAGCACGCCAGAAACGAGCGCGGCCATGATGCTCTGATAATATCTGATCAGAATCCTTTGTATGACACCTTGGCGATGAAATTTTACTCGAAGAAAGCCAAAGGCGGTCCTAACACCGTGAAGCTGTCAATGCAAAAGAATCAGCTGGCTGGAGAGGTGACCAAGAACGAAGATTTCCTGCCTCATATGGACCTTGTTGGGCCGCAAGACGACATCAGGCTGGAGCCTGACGTTGACGATGATCGCTCGCTGAACGTATTTTTCACGATGCCACCTCCTACCCATGTTCACAAGTCCATGCTGTTCCCGGGGGTTGTCTTGCCTCCTCCTGTTCTTGACAAGAGCGACCTGGCCATGGTGCGCTCGAAGGCTAGGGTATCGGGAAGAGACTTTGGCGGTGCGCCACTATATGACAATACTCGACGTGACCGTTTTGATACGCAGAATCGGGGAGGACGCATCAACTACGCTGCCGACCGACCTCCCATTGACGCAGGCCCTCCTGGTATACCACCACCGAGTCAATGGCCTCCGGGCTTGCCTCCCCCTCCCCCACCGGGCTACGGTGGTCCAGGAGGTTACAACCGAAATCCGCCACCGGCAAATGGTTATGGAGGATATCAGGGTTATGGTGGTCAGGATCAAGGCTACTATGGCCAACAAGGGCAGAACCAACACTATGGCGGACAAGGCTCCAACCAGTACCACGGCGGTAACGGACAAAATCAACAGAACGGTGGAAGATCTTTCAGTGACGGTTATTATCAAGGCCAAAATCGGGGACCGCCAGCGAGGGACAACCGAAGTGGAAACTATGGTGGCAGCGGCGGATATGGCCGAGGTGGTTATGGTCGACGCTAAGTCGCTACTACGCAGCACTCAGGTCTGTGTGACCAGGATCGGATGAGCAAAGGAAGAGATGCAGCTGTAAATTTGGAGGGAAGAGGAACCTGTTAAAGTACTGATATTTGGCTGGATACAGGCGGGTATTTGTCAAGGTATTGTCTCACAGTGCTAGGTAGCTGTACACCGGATGGTGATGAGGCTAGGTGGTGTAGAAATGAGTATGATATTTGGTGGCCACAGAGTCCCTTCCTTAGTGTGCAATTAATCAGTGCCACAAGGGATAGTTATTACAGTCTCTAGTCTATGTTCGTGGTATCAAACTTTTACACATGCAGTCAGTCTGTATATTCGGCTATGTCGACACAATACCTCAAACAGTCCTAGCTACACGGAGGGATAGAACCAAAACACCTTCGCATCTTTTTCTAACGTGTCCGGTGCCTGTCTGCGGAGGTAAATCCCAAAGAGGTCCCTCTCTTGTGCCCGTACCTTCTCAAAGTCCAACTCTGGGGACACCCAGCCCTCTTCATCCGAGCATAGAATCTCTTGGGTGTATTTCCGCAGTTGAACCCAGTCTCGATATTCACCGAGTTGTGTTTCGTGGGCAGTCATCTCCTCGCTCGATAACGTAATGGGACAGCTCCCGCTGAGTTCGATCCTGTGCCAATTTCTGGACAGCTGGATCAGACAGTCCCTCAACGGCACCACGCCGTCCTAACACGTCCGACCACACAGGGTGAATATGCGGCGCACAGTGTCAGGGACTTTTGTGAGAGCAAAGTATGCTTTGCGGCCACGCTGAGCGAGGGCAACTTCGTAGCATTTCGCCTGCTGCAGGGCCTGGTCCCGTTGCGAGAGCGCATAGGCCTGTTCGTCTGGGTCCATGATCTCGAAATCGGCCGGGGGTTCCGGCTTGATCGCCCCGGTCTGGTGGTCTTCCAGCGGCTCGAGAAAGTGCAGCCACCGCACCTGGGTGAATGCCGGTGAGATCGAGGTGAACTGCCAGTCGATGACACCGACGATTTTGGTGGGGTCGTCGTCGGAGACAAAGATGTTGCCCATGTGCAGATCTGTGTGCCACAGAGTCGGCCTGGCATGGCCTCGCAGAAGGGGAGTCTTGGCCAGAATAGGGATCACCTTCATGGTAGCTTCGAAATGGTGCAGATGCGAATCGGGAGATCCAAAGTGTGGTCCCCCGGGACCAAGGTAAAGATGCTATATCCCGCGCGCACCATGACTGGGAGCGGGATCTTGACAATCACTTCTTTCCCGTTCGCCACGGCTAGCTTCAACGCCTTGTTGAAGCTGCCCTCGTGCTTGTCTATGCTGGATACAGGAGACATGACTGAGGGGAGGGAGGAATCTAAGGCTCAGAGCCGCTCAAGGTCGAATTTGGCATGTCTTCTTGACAACTCATGTTGTTCGTTCATCAGGAAACGTCCATTGGAATAGTTCAAAAGCTCGCTTGTACAGATAGTGTCACTTGGGGTGTTCATGTCAGCAAGAATTAACATGGGGATCAGTATGGGATGCTTTCCTCGACAAGTGATTGGTGAAGGCGCTTGCTGAAGACTCGCAGGAGTTTTGGCATTGCAACGGTCGTTTGCCTGGTTGTTCTCAAATGATGGGCATTGAGACTGAGATCTTGCAGTCAACACCTCGTTCAGTACTTGTAACCTCGTAGTCCATAGTGTCACATAGAAGGTTAGACGCGATACCTAGACCAGGCTGGAGACAAAAAGCCATAGTCCCCATACGGACACTGGAGTGGAGAAATAATCAACGTGCTCTCCCGACAGCAAAAGCAAAAAAAAAAAACAACTCGATGGCGATGGGACTCGAACCCACAGTCTTTGCCACGCTCCTGATTGATACAAGAATGTAACCGGAAAGCAACGCCTTACCATTAGGCCACGCCACCATGCTAAGCAGGTGTAGAAGAATCGCATTTTCTGTGTGCGATTCGTGAGCCAAATCAGAGCTATAATTGGCTAGTGCAATATATGAATAGCAACAAGAGGTTCCCTTGGCAAAGAAGTTTACCGTTACCTGTTTCAAGTGAAACACTTCACTTTTCCAAGTCACTGAATATCAAACAGTACGGTCAAAATAATTTAAATGCGACATTTCAATTTGATTAGATTTCGAAAACTTATCTAGGAGTTCCAAATCCCTCGACATACCAGGCCGGCGTCAAACAGGTTTGGCAGTCAACGCTCAAGTCGTGCAGCTCACCAGGCAAATGTCAACACGATGCTTTCTGAAAACATAGCCCCCAGCATCTCCAAGTCCGACAATTCTCGTTTACAACTGGAAGGAAACTCCGCACTTTCAGAGGTGTGAGGTGTTCTCGACGCTCTGACCGATCCACGTCTCAAGCTGTTTCTGGTCTCGAGGGATGAATCTCACCTTGAAGGGTTTGGGCTGAGTGACCATACTTGTCGGCACCGAATTGCACTCAATCGTGTCCAGAATCGGCCTGTCCTTTGGATCGGTGGCCTCATGGATGCGGAAGGCTAGGACTAGGCGTGTGAAGATGATGTACAGCTCTCGATTTGCCAAATGTGCTCCGGCACACATCCGAGTCCCCGCGCCGTAGCCAAAGTGCTGTGTGCCCTCTCCGGCGCCTGATTGCCCCATGAAGCGATCCGGGATGAATTCCATGGGTGACTTGAAGTGCGCAGGATCATGATTCGCGGCCCACATATTCTGCCCATGGATTGTTAGCACGACCGTCGGTTAACGGCCCGGGGAGGTCTGGGAGGTGAAAATCTCATACCATCAAGAAAGGTGTCCCGGCAGGGATAACAGCACCTTTGTAAGTGATGTCGCTAACACTTTGGCGATAGAATGACAAGTTCAGGGTGGACCAGAAGCGAAGCACCTCCTACGACATGGTCAGTCTTCGATTTGGTGGTGGCAGAGGTCACTCTTGAAGTCCCTGCACTCACCTTTACAAAAGAAATGACGTACTCGGACGTCTCTTCGTATAAGCATCCATGCCATGGGTCTTTTCCAGGGTACGATTTGATGATTTCGTCGTACATTCGTGCTTGGATCTCCTGGCCGTGCGGTGACGAAAGGTAAGCGATCGTCATGTTGATATTCCCTGGCAATGTGTCGAGGCCAGCGGCGACCATGGTCAAACATATGGATTTGAGTTCATCTAAGCAAGCATTCAGTCAGCCATCAACCGTCGGCAGGTGGCACCATCTGATAGCTTACTATCCGCCAATCTAGCCTCTGGATCTTTCAGGACGTTGCCAGCAATGCAGGGGTGGTCGGTGCCGTTCGCGATTCGTTCTTTCAACTGATTAAAGAAACTAAGGATGTATTCGTCTCGTCGGGCCCGATACTTTACGGCATTCGACTTGTACCCGGGTAAGATCCGGAGCAACGGGACATAATCTTGCCAGTTATGCGCAATACCGCGGATGTTTCCCAGCTCTCGCTCAACGGCAACCACTTCATTGAGAGTGCTGTCTTTGACAGTGCCCTGGATTCGAATACCGTAATTCAGGGTCAGGCTGATGTTCAAAGAGAAGCGTTGGAAATAGCCGTTGGGGTCGATGTCGTACCCAAATTTGATGTTCTGGACCAGTTCGTTGATGCTGGTGGTGGACTCAAGGTCGATGAAAGGGAGGTATGTCTGCACCGCCTGTCTGTTCAGGGCCGTGGCCGCCGCTTTGCGGGCTCTCTTGAGGGACTCAGACCATGGCGAGGTCCCCAGGGTATACACTCCCTGGGTTTGCGAAACCACGTCGTGGAATGTCCAAAACTTTGGTCGAGAGATGAGTGCTGACTGATTTCTGATCCATAGTTCCTTCACCGATTCGAACGAGTTTGCATAAATGAATCTCTGGAGCGCAAGGAGAGTCAATACGATCGACCCAGTGACATGTGATCTGGTGCTTGGGGATCTTCACTCACGCGGTTGCCCAGGCGAACCTGGAAGACATCGCCATACGTCTTGGCCAGCCGAGCGCAGTTCCTGGCATGATACTTGCCCAAGAGGATCAGACTCCCAAAAATCGGCACCCCAGGAAGTTCGGGTAGGTTTTTGATCTTTGGGATATCGGTTCTATTGGCCCATCTGATGAGCAGCGCGAGTACAGAGGCAACAAAGAAGAATCCGATGGCCGGATGCATGGTGAATTGACAAAGGTGATAACCTTGAAGCGTCTCTCTCTTCTTCTGTGAGGTTCAATGGGGAAAATCCACCCTGGGATGAAATCGAGAGTCCATGGATAAATATCGAGGGGTTTTAAACGCCTACTGCGTCTGCCGTGTCACTTACGAAATGCTGTTTCGATGCGACTTATCTCCGTACGATCCTGGGATCCGCGAGTCCCCAAGTTGGGGTGGGAATGCATTCTTCCCATTCTGGGTTTCAGCAGGCCTTACCTCGGTCACTTCAACTCTACATTTAACAAGTATCGATCAGCCTCCGATTTGGAGAAGCATATTCCTACGATAGCCGTGGAGAGCCTCATCGACATCGACATCTGTCCAAAGTCTCCAGGTCCGCGAGACCAATTGGTTGGCCTCTTAATAATCTGAGTGCAAACACGTTGTAAAAAGCTTTAGAGCTCGGCGTTCAGCACATCGCTCAACCCAACTCCCGGACAAGCATATTGAGACAACATAGCATCGAAATGGCCATCTCAAAGATACGTTTAGCAATACTGGATGACTACCAGGGCATTGCTGCAGCCAAATTCGCTCATCTACAGCCCAAAGTCGAAGTCACCACTTTCTCTGACACTATCAACCCGAGCGGAGAGGCGGAGAAGGATGTCCTCATCGAGCGCCTTCGACCGTTCACTGTTATTTCGACGATGCGGGAACGAACACCCTTGCCAGGGGATGTAATTCGGGCTCTTCCGAACCTCAGATTGCTTCTAACCACCGGAATGAAGAACTCGGCAATCGACATGGCTGCCTGTGCTGAGCAGAATATCATCGTCGCCGGAGCAAAGGGAATTGGCAAGTCTGGGGACGTGAGCTTCCCTACCTCGATTGATTCTACTTTGCAACACTGCTGGGCACTCATCCTGGGTATCGCTCGGAACATTGCCCGTGACGACGCCGCCGTCAAGTCTGGTCTCTGGGAGATTTCTCCAGCTACAGGGCTGAAGGGCAAAACGCTAGGTCTGTTAGGATTTGGCAACCTGGGTGCGAGGGTTGCCTCGGATGGTGCGTGGGCGTTTGGAATGAAGATTCTAGCATGGTCGAGTAGTCTCACACAGGAGGTTGCTGAGCAAAAGGCCAAGTCATTTGGTCTTCCACCAGGGACGTTCAAGGTGGCGAGCAGCAAGGAAGAGCTCCTCAGGGAAGCGGACGTGTTGAGCATCCACTACGTTCTGTCTGATCGAAGCCGAGATCTTCTAGGGGAGAGAGAGCTCGCCTTGTTGAAACCCTCTGCTCTCCTCGTCAACACCTCGAGAGGCCCCCTCATCAACGAGAAGGCTTTACTCGATGCTTTGAACCACGGCAGGATCAAAGGTGCAGCTTTGGACGTCTATCATGTGGAACCGTTGCCGCTCGACAGCCCGTGGCGTACGACTGCTTGGGGCAAGGACGGCAGAAGCCAAGTACTACTTAGCCCACACATGGGCTACGTGGAGGAGGGAGTCATGAACCGATGGTACGAGGACACAGCATCAAATCTGGAGTTGTGGCTCGAGGGAAAGGACATCCCGACAAAGCTCAACTGAAGTAGGCCTCCAGTGCCGTGCTACGTCCGAGTCGATAACAGGAGCATTTGGGGCTGGATGACTTGCCCTGAACGAACGTCCTATAGTCTGTCCGTGTCCGACCAGCTCAAGATATTAAACGCAGATCACTTTCTCATCTCCCAATCCGGAACAAGACCCCGGTGCCCCAAATTGGAGCACAGTCTGGGTAAGCAAGCGCCATATTCCGTGATTTCTGGAATGGAGTCCGGTCCGTGTTCGGATATCCTACGTCGACTGGGCGGCTGGATCTCCATGATGGGCGCGAGACTATGGTGGCATTCATCGACGCGAGATTAAGAGGTTAGTGTTACGAGCCCCTGGACTCATACCTGTCTCGATTAGCGAGGTGGCCTTTGTCCCAACGGCGTCGCCGTTGATGCAGGAGATACTAGTGGCACGCGAATC